GGCGGGAACGCGTCGCGCTCGCGACTCATCCCGCGGCAGCCGAAGAGAAAAAAAGCCCGCCAGCCCGCGGCCAAGGGGCGGCAGGCAGCCGACGCCGTGGAGGAGCGGCCGAAGGCTACTCGCCTTCCGTGCCGTCCTTGGCCCCTTTCTTTGGACGGGCCAGTGCGCGTTCCTCTCTTGCCTTCCTCCGCACTGTGGCGATGGCGCTCTCGCGGGAGATCTGTTTGCTGATCCAAACGCTGAGCTGCGGTGCCGCCGCGAGACCTCGGGCGGCGGCCGGCCCGTGAAGCAATAGCGTTCCTCCCGATGGGCCTCATCGCAAAGCTTCTCGCACAGGATATTGTCGCGGTGCCGCTCCTCACACAACTGCAACTGTTGCGCCGCGAATTCCAAGGCCCCGAGGTTGCTGATGTCCAGCTGATCGTAACGCAGCGCCGTCTCGAACATCTTGCTGAACTCCTGATGCGTGGACGCGGTGATGTCGTCGAACGCGAGCCCGATGTTGGAGCGCCACTGCACGTGATGGCCCAGAGCACTGCCGCCGTTCTCCAGCGTGAAGCGCGCCGCCCAGGCCGCGCTCCGTGGCCCGGGCACGGGCCGCTCGGCCCACTGAGAGGGAGCCAGGATGGCGACCTTATCTGCGAACGACCTGTGCCGCTGACCATTCTTTGGACGCCCGAAGTGGGCACGGAAAGAATGGGTACAATGCCCAACAACAAATGTTGTCCCAAACCAACAGCGGCCGCTGTTGGGCAGGCGGCCTTCTGTCTCGAATGGACACAGGCCGCAGCGGCGTGGACAGCGAGTCCTGTTCAGAATGAACAAGAACTGCTGTTGGGCATCGTACGAATTCTTTCCGTGCCCATTTCGTTCGCCCGGACATTCGTGTCGTAGAGGACCGACAGCGCGCGGCAGTCCGACACGTCCGAGCCTCCACCAGCTGCGGGTCCAGGAAGCGCTCCTCCATCATAAGCGCCTGCGAGAGCCGCAGCGAGCCCAGCATGCCCGATGACGGGCGCCGCGGGCCCTGCAACAGCCGCCGCTCCGCCGCCGATCGCAACCGCCGCCGCAGGGGGGTCTGCGGCCGCCAAGGCGGCGCTAGCCGCCGCGCCGCCCGCCCTGGCTGGGGCTGCGCCAGCGGGCACCACGGCGCCCGCGCCGCCGGCCCCCAAGAGCGCCGCCAATCCTCCCCCAGGTCCGCCAGCCACACCCAGACCTCCGCCGCCGCATGCGTCAGCCGGAGACCCTGGGACCGCCGCGGGCACGCCTCCTCCGGCCCCGAGCTGAACGTCATGGGCCGCGATGAAGCGGTCGGCCTCCCGCGTGAAAGTAGTAGATCGCTTGGCCCGCTGCAGCAGCGGGAACCGCTCCGCCAGGACCGCAAAGGTGCCACGCGGCGATGTCCGCGCTGTCGGCCGTGAAGTTTTCGATGAACAGGTCGTAGTCCGGCGAGACCACAGCAGCGTGAAGCGGCTGCACGGTGCTGACACGCATTACCACGCGACGGTGCAGCAGTACAGCGCCTGGCACATCATAAAACACCAGCACCTCATCGCCGATGCTCACTCGGCGTCAGCACCTGCCCACGTCCGCGTGGTACTCGTCGATCGAGCGCGTCCTCTAAGGAGCTGGCCGAAAGCCAACTTCCGAAGGAGGTGCCCGCGGGAAGCTCCAGAGGCCGCTTGGGAGGCGGCGCGCCAAGCGGCGAGCTGCGGCCACGCCAGTGGTGAACACCTCCCACACGAGGAGTACGAGCAGCCCGAAGCCCAGATCGCCGCCCCAGGTCAGCAGCCCTGACTCCGGCTCGGGGCACGCCGGGCAGGGATCAGGGCACAGGTCCCGCGCGGGAAGGGCCGGCGCTGGCGAGCACCGAGCGAGGGCCGCGCAGAGGTCCTCGACCTGCGCGACGGGCGGCGGCGCGGCCGCCGAGCAGCCCCGCGCTGGCGGGGCGGGGGCGGGCGCCGGCCGCAGCGCCTCTGGGGCGGCCCGCGCAGCCGACAGCGGGCGGGCGCCGCCCCACAGGCGCCCCAGCCAGGCCGCGCAGGCGTGGAACGCGACGTGCGTCACGCCTCGGGCCACGGGACGCATGCACGAGGCCCCGCGCGGGCCACCTGAGGCCTCCACAGAAAAGGCTTGAGCCGTGGCGGTTGCAGATATCGCAAGCTCGCAGCCGCACGGCCCTCCCACGTTCTACGATTGAAGTTCAAGAACCCTCCATCATCATCCTCATCCTCATCCTCATCCTCATCCTCATCCTCATCCTCATCCTCATCATCATCATCATCACCACCACCATCATCAAAATCATCATCACCATCGTCATCATGATTAATATCCACGTCAACATTGTCATCGCCATCACCACCATCATCATCAACATCAATATCTTGATCATCGTCACCATCATTAGTATCATCAACATCAGCACCATCATGATCGTCGTCGGCATCGTCATCGTCATCGTCGTCATCACCATCATAAATCCTCCTCATCTCCATCCTGATCCTCATCCTCGTCATCATCATCACCATCATCACCATCACCATGATCCTCACCATCACCATCACCATCGTCATCATCATCATCATCATCATCATCATCATCATCATCATCATCATCGTCACCATCACCATTACCATCACCACCACCACCATCATAAATATCACCACCACCACCATTATCATCATCATCGTCATCAGCATTAACATAATATCCATAATCTTCAGAATCGTCAACAACATCATAATCATCATCAACTCCGTCATCATCATCAGCAGCACCATTGTCATGATCATCATCAGCATCATCATCATCGTCATCATCATAATCGTCATTGTCATCAACATCGGCATCATCATCGTCATCATCACCAACCTCATCATCATCATCATCACCATCGTGATCGTGCATCAACCTCATCATCATCGCCATCGCCATCGTCATCATCATCGTCATCATACATCCTCTTCGACCTCATCCGCATCCTCGTCCTGATCCTCATCCTCATCATCACCATCACCACCATCATCACCATCACCATCACCATTCACCATCACCATCACCATGATCACCATCATCAGCAGCATCAGCATCAACATCATCATGATCAGAACCTGAACTAGTCATGATAATCAGCATCAGCATCAGCATCAACATCATCATGACCATAAGATCATCGCCATCATCATCATCATCACCATCATCATCCACATCATTACCATCAGCATCATGGCCATCAACATCATCATCACCAGCATCACCATCCTCATGATCCTCCTCATCATCAGCATCATCATAATATTATTATTTTCATCCTCATCATCACCATTGCCATCATTATCGTCATCATCACCACCATCATCAACTTTCTCCTGTTCCTCATCCTGACCCTCATACCCGTTCCCACCCGCACACTCATCATCACACTCATTCCCATCATGGCCGTCCTCTTTCTCCTCTTCCTCCTTTTCCTCCTCCTCCTCCTCCTCCTCTGACTCCTCCTTTTCCTCCTCCTCCTCCCCACCATCACAATCCTACCAGATCAACTCCCGTTCCGCTGGGCCGCTGCGCTGCGCCCTCAGGCTCCGCAGCAACTTCGCCACTCGGCGGATCCCAGTGGCGACGGCGCAGCGCGGGCTCCTGGGCGCCGAGGAAGGTGTCTGCAGGGCGGAATCCATCCGTGGGGCTATTCGCTGGTGCTGCCGTGTCGTTCCCCACCGCACCGGCTCCTGGGAGCCGACGCAGCGAGGGGGACAGGGCACCGCCGAGGCGGGAGCACTGGCGCCCCACTGGCGGCCCGAGCAGCCGCTGGCGCTTGCTGCACGGAGGAGGTGGACGGTCGCGCTGATGGCCCGCAGAAAGCATGTCTGCACCACCACCGCCACCGTCAACGTGCCCAGACCATCCTGGACCCTGGGATTGTGCACACGCCCTGCTGGCCTCGGCCACGAGGCCATGGCAGCATGCCTGGGCCGCCCAGGATGGCCCTGGCCAGGGGCGGTGGTGCCTGGGTGCCTTCTGCGCCGGCGCAATGGTCGCGGGGCGCTCGGGCGACCACGGCACGGAGCGCGAGGTCTGGCGGCGTCTCCTCGCGGCCGGGGGCCCTGTGCCAACGGGGGAGGCTCCCCACGGCGGAGTGCTCGCGGGAGCGCTCGGGCGACCACGGCACGGGGTGCGAGGACGGCCTCCGGCTCGGCGACAGCACGGGCAGGCGCCCACGCCGCCCGCCAGAGCCGCAGTGCGGCGGCGGCGACAGAGCCAGCAGTGCGGCGGCGGCGACAGAGCCTGTGATGCCGACAGCGCACGGCGCGGGAACCCTCAGGGACCGAAGGAGCCCTGCCTCCTTCCAGCAAGTCCCAGCCGTGGGGCAGGGGCAGCCAGAGAGTGTTCCGCAGAGGCCCGCCGCGCGGCGGAAGGCACCGGGCTGGAAACAGGGGCGGGCGTGCTGGACGGCCCTCGGGAGGGACGATGCAGTTCCCACGGGCAAAGCCAGAGCGGGTGTGCTGCAAGGCCGTCAGGATGAACGATGCAGCCCTTTTCGGGCCGCAGCGCCCGGAGATCGCCTGCCTCCCACCACTCTATGCCTTTTCTGGCAACGCCCCGCCCCAATTGTTGTTTGTTCTCTCTCTCTCTCTCTCTCTTTCTCTCTTTTGTTTTTTCTCTCTCTCTCTCTCTCTCTCTCTTTCCGTGTCTTTTTTCTTTTTTTTGTAGATGCACATACATATAATCCTCTCGCTCTCTCTCTCTCTCTCTCTCTCTCTCTCTATGTATAGAAATATCGTTATATTTGTAGAAAGGTGTATGTATGTATATATATATATATATATATATATATATAGACTATCTCTCTCTCTCTCTTCCCTTTTCGGCGTGGTTTTCGCTATCATCCTGTCGCTGTTATTCGTTTCGTTCCTGCTTTGTGGGGCTTCGATGCTGCGGAGAGCCTGATTGACCTCCTGGGGGCGGACGGGAAGGCGGGCCCCCCTCCCCCATCATCGAGCCTTCATGAACACCTCGGTGTTCAGGAAGCCAGCGGTCAGCGAGCCGGCTACCCCCTCCTCCGAGTGCAGAGGCACTGACAGCACGGAGGTCTGGATCACAGGAGGTCCTGGGCCGCGAGTAGCCGTGGCGGTTGCAACAGCAGCAGCAAACCAGCAGGTGCAGCAGTCTCAGCAAACGCGGCAATCGTCTTACTGATTGTAGTGATAGCGGCCGCGTTGATAGTATTTGTAGTCGCTGTCGCAGCGGCAAAGGAGGCGATGGAGAGGGATAGAAGGAGGCGAAGGCGGAAGTCCAACGGGAGGGTGGAAAGGGAACGAAGAGGGGGGTGCAGGGGGAAGGAGCGGAAGAGTACGTTTATGATCAAGATGATGATGATGATGATGATGATGATGATGATGATGATGATGACGGTGGCGACTATGATGATGATGGTGGTGATGATGATGATGATGCCCGCGTGAACAGGAGTTCCCTGCTCATACTGCCCCTCGGACCGAGGCGTTTCCCTTTGGCCCTGCGGTGGCCGCGCTCGGTCTCGGGCGCCTCGGCGCACACACGCAGATTTACTCGCATGCCAGAAGCAGCCAGCCACCTCAGCAAAGACAACGGGCCAACGGACCCGAGCAGACGAAGCGACTCAACCCGCTCTGCAACAGGCACAGGCCCCAGCTGCACGATCTATCAGACTGGTACGCAGCTTGGCTGCACACCGCACCCGCGGAGAAGCCCGTCCAAGGACAGGCGTATTGCACAGCTGACCCTCGGGCCATCGGGGAAGATCCAGAGCGTGGGAGACCTACGCTGATGGTTCGCATTCCACGTCGAATAGACGCGCGGGCCGTGCCGTCGCAGAGCGACAGCCGCTTCATTAAAGCGGAACTGCGCGCGAAACGTGCATTCATCCATTCTAGAATGGCCGGAACCATCCGCGCTTCGATCCTAGGAGGCGAGCGGAGCAGAGTGCACGGCAGGCCATGCGCACTGCAGCTGGTCGGCACCTAACCACAAGCAGAACAACCATCCCAAACAGCACTGGCAACGCAGGGATTGGTTGCTGTGCCGCTGGCCACGGATCCCAATCCCGTGTGCGAGCGAACCTACACACCTCGTTCGATATCCGCACAGAGAGACAGTGGCGCGAACGTCCTGAACGGATCGTGCCCATCAGCTGAGCAGACAGAAGCACCTCGCCGACCGCTGCGCAACGCGTCTCATAGGCTCATGGCCCCGCTGGACTGAATGCATAGCCGTCGGCAACGGAGCCCGAACCCTAGTGTCAGCGCGCCTGCACCCATGGTTCAGATTCCGCCCAAAGCGAGCCGCGCGGAGGCACGCAGCGCGCACCGAACCGTGGCCATGCACGCTGCACTCAACACACCTGGCCGTCAGCAGCGCAACGCGTCCCCTTCGGCACCTGGCCGAACGCTGGACCAGTTGCATTGCCGAGGGCAACGGAAACGAACCTGCGCGCGCACGAACCTTCGCGCATGGCTCCTGGCCCGCAGAAGAAGTGCATGGGAGCGGCATAACCGTCCACGCGTCTACGCAGGCGCCGAAGAGGTTCAGGGTCGCCAGCGCGGACCCTCCCCGCTGGCTGAAGTCCCCGCCCCAGCCCCCCCAGCACCGCGTGCTTGCTGTCGTTCTTCGGGGCGCGCGGGCACGGCTTCGCGAGCCCCGCCATCCTGGCGCTCTGCGTCCTGTAGCCGCACTTGGTGCAGAAGAGGTGGCTCCCCGCCGCCCACAGCTCGCGAGGGTCGTGGCTGTCGATTCCCCGCCACTGTGGCAGCTCTGGAAGCGGGGGCGGGGTGGTCTGCGCCACAGGCTGTTGCTATTTCGCCGTTGCCTCCCTCTGGGGCTGTCAGCCGCTCCGTCGACTGCTGGTCCGCCGCCCCCGTCGCGCCCTTGGCCTCCGGCGTCGGGCTCGTCGCTGCGCGGGCCGCTGGTCTGGCTGGGGGGCAGCTTGGCGCCTGCCGCGAGGAGCGCCGCCACCGCTGAGACCGTTCTCGAGCCCCTCTCCCCTCCAGCGGCGCACGAGCCCAAGATGACCTCGCCGCGCCCCGCGCATTCCAAACGTGCCCATATGGCGTCCCCGTAGATGCCCAGCCACGTGCTGCGTCGAACACGCGTCCTCCTCGAGCAGTCGGGGCGCACGCGATGGCCCCTCATGCGAAGCATGCAACTCCGCCAACCACAACGGACCTGATCGAGGCCTGGCCCTTCATGTCTGTCCTCGGCCGTCAGCTCGGCGTCGCCCTCCTGCATGGCAGCGCCAAACCAACGCAGTACCTTCCTGACGAGGCGGTCCTGGTGAGCGCTCCTCTCGCGGACGGAATCGCCAATCATGCGCATGCGGGCCCCCATCGCTGGCGCGCGCATCTGCTCGGCGGTTGCCGAGGCGCTGTCAATCGGAGATGCGCTCGGCCTGGACATCCGCCAGCGTCGCGCGCGCCTTCGCCTCGCGGATGGAGAGGCCGTCGCGGCCCACGGTCCACTTCGTCGATGACCACTCGCAGGCGCGCCCAGAGCTCCCTGCAAAGCCGCTGCCACTGAAAGCACCGGCCTTGCCCGCCCCGGTTCCATCCACGAGCAGTTCGTAGTCCGCGAAGATCCTGATGGGCGGCAGGCTGTTCTGCATGCCCTCGATGACCGCGTGGACCTCCGCCGCGCTCGACTCCTGAGGGTAGAGCCAGGGCAGCGGCCCGAAGAGGCTGACGGCCTCCATGCCCTGGCCCATGACCACCACTGCCCAGCCGCCCCTTGCAGGAGACCAGGCCGGGGTCATCCGTGCTGACAGCGGAGAAGGTCGCCAGTGAGTGGTAGCCCCGCCGTCGGCTCGCCCCTCCTTGCGAGCGGCCCCCCCTTCGGTGGGCTGAGGTAGCGCCCTCCTGTGATTGGGGGCAGGCGCGCGTGGCCACAGTGGGTCCTCCTCGTAGTTGGGGCTGGCCATGTCAATGTCGACGATCGCACTGAAATTGATATCGCCAGGCGGGCGCCTCCCGTCGCCGCGGGCTGCCATTTCTGCTCGGCCCAAGGCCGTCGCGGGGCACGGCCGCGCGAAGTGCCTCGCCGCGCCGCGGGCGCTGTGACCTCTGGGGCACCGCGGGGGAGGCGCCAGAGGTCAATCGGATTCGAATCGTCTGGCGACGGGCCACAGGCATCCGCCCAGGGCGTCCTTGGCCGAGCTGAGCTGCTTCGCCTTCTGCTTGCTTACGCGCTTCCAATGTAGAGCGCGCCTGCTGCTGGACTGCGCGCCGCCCCCCGTCAAGTGCTCAAGGCCTCTGGGCGCGCGCCCGCTCCTCGCCAGGGCGCTCGCCCATGGCCTGCGGCGACGCGCGTGGCCGAGGCGGGCGCGCCTGGGGCTCGCAGGTCCAGCTCGCGCTGCTGACCGTCGATAGGCAAACCCGGGCGCGCCGCTGTCCATTCGAGGCGGTGGCGCGCCAAAACGCGCGCCCATGCTGGGCCCCTGCCAGCGGGCGCCTCGGGCCCCTTCTCCGCGAGCGCATCGATGGCACTCGCGAGCGCGCTGCCCATGGCCCTCGGACCCTTGATGCCTGACTTGATCTGCACCGCCTTGGCCCGCGCGAAGATGGGCAGCGCGACGTGGCCCAGGAAAGGGTCGATCGAGAGCCTCTTGCTGGGCAGGGAGCTGAGGCCGAGGCTCTTGCCAGGGCCTCGCCCCCCCCCCCCCCCCGCGCTTGGCCATCTGCTGCGTCTGCCAGGCTGCCGCGCTGAGCCCGCGCAGCGTTGCCGGGCGCAGGCCGGCGCTGGCCACTCGCGCCGCCGCAAGGGTCTCCTGAGCGCAATTGGAATGCAACCGCTGGAGCTGAGGCGCCGCATTCGCGCAGCGCGCCCCGGGGCGACGAAAGCCTTGCAGTCGATGCAGTAGCCCGCGCCGAGGCTCGCGACGGGGTCGACAACTGGCAAGGCCACGCCGCGCATCTGCTTGGCCACCAAGGACGCGAGCTCGGGTGTGCTCGCGAGGAGCTTGCTCTTGGCCCCCGAGACCTTGCAGCCCGAGGCCTGCATCTGCGCGTCCGCAGCTTCGGTCGCCCGCGCCGCGCGCGCGCGGCGACCCGCGCCATCGGGCCGCGACAGCCCGCGCAACAATCGTCGATCTGATCGCGAGCGCAACTCTGGTTTCTGGTGTCCGCCACATCCGAGCGCGCTCGTCTGCTAGTGCCACGAGGCGACATTTCAGCAGCCGCCCCGCGCGAGCACAGCCTGCGATGAGGCCCGCCTCCAGGAGGTACGCGTCGGAGACGCTGCCGTCGAGCGCGCGCCTCCTTTCGCCCGCGTAGATGGAGAGCGCCGCGCACGGCAGGCCCCGAGGGTACTTAGCGAGGGCGCTGCGCTCCTGGATGATCGCGAGGTTCACCAGCTCGCGCGCTTTCCACAGGTCCATGAGCGCCGCGGCTGCGCCCCCCCCTCTGGCGCGCGAAGCCTCCGATCGCAAGGCTTGCCGCCGCGCAGCTCCCACGGCCGCCCGCCCTCGCCCGCCCAGGGGCGCGCCTGCCAGACCTGGGTCGACCCTGGGGCCCCGCTGCCAAGCACGTGGCTGGCGCGCTCGGCCCCAGAGGCGCGGCGGCCATCCGAGCAGCCCGACGGGGCGAGAGAGCCGCCCCGGGGCTCGGGAAGCATGGCCACTGGCGAGTGTGTGATCACATCTGGCGAGCCGCCCAGCTCCTCGCTCTTCGCGCAGATATCGATGACGGCCCCCAGGATATCGTCGCCCAGGTCAGCTGCCTTCCGAAGGTTGAGGCGGCCGCTGCCCACCCCAGTGCCGCGGCGGACGGTCTTGGCTGCGCTGCGAGCCCTTTCGGCCGAAAGCCTTGGAAGGGCCTCGGCGCCCCCGGGCGGATGCTTCGGGCGGGAGCGATCCCCCGCTGCGCGCGCCCCCCAGACCTCCACTGGGCGGCTGCCGCTTGTGGTCCGCGGGCAGGCGCGCCTCCGCGCTCGTCGCCAGGCGCCCGGCCCCTCGGGCCCCGACGGCGCGCGCGAAGGCCCCTCCTCCTGCCGCCGCGGGGCGGTGGGTGCAACCCTGCGACCTTGACGCCTTTCCCGCGCATGGCTGCAGAGCGGCGCCCTCTTTCCCCTTCGGCCTCTGCG